ATAGGGGTGACATACCTCTGTTACATGGAAGGACGACTTGTACAAATACCAATAAACATTATCCAGACTGTAATGAAATGCAAACTTGGTGACCCATTGTGCTATGCTTGGGTGTCCTTGAGTGGCTACTTTCTGAATTTTGTGAATTTTTCCAAGATCAATTTGAAGGAAATCTCGATCGCTAACTCCGCACCAGGCTGCTGTTCCATTCAAACGGCCTTTTGCTGCCTCTTTACCAGGCCCCGCAAATGATGAAGCACTGATATGGTTGTCTGAGATGACATTTGTCTCCACTCCAAGCTGGTTGCTACAAACTATTAAACATTATTGTAAAACTCATGAATAATTAATGAGGAAAACACAATAGAAATCACAACCCTGAAGAGTGTTGTAATATTTGATACAAAACTGTCTTGATTTGCATATTAAACTTCAAATGTAATTTTCTCAGCCAAATTCAATGTAGATTATGAATGAGATTGTAAAATCCCAAGACAACACGGCCGCTCATGTTGTAAACATGTGAAAGCTATCATACATATYATAATGATGAATAATAACTATTAAGATATAAATAATATATATCAATACCTTCACCCCCATAGATTTCCACCCGTATACCAGCCTGCTTATACAATGAGAATACATTGAACCTAATCAAGATGGCGGTGATTTCGTGACGAAGTTCATGTTTAACTATTGTATGCATATCAAAGTTTCCATCAAACATCTGAAAAATTACAAGGTTTGAAATATTCTATTACTTAAAAAACATTAATTTAAAAAACATTGGTCAGTCAGTTTGACATTGAGATCTAAATGTATTTCATTACCTTGAGTTCACCATGTTCTTCATAATTGAACCACTCWGCTCCAAGAGGACTGTACGATAAACTATACATCTTAACCCACTCCTCCCTTGCACCATGACCTTGTGTTGCTACAGCTGTAACAACTTTCAGACTTGGCCCAATGTTGACTTCCAAAAACTCTTCAAATCCTGAATGCATTCTTGCASCTTTGGCATGGTTCAAGCGTGCAAAAGAGCACCTTTCATGTGACGAGCAATGTCTGCATTTAATTTTTGAATCAGGAATTTTTTTACTTTCAACACCAAGTGCCACATGAAATGCTTTTAAAAAAGAAAAACAATATTATTTATTGCTAAGCTAGGTACATTACAAATTTCATTGCTAAGGAGTGATACCTTACTTACCTGAACAACCAAATGCCTCAACTCTCATGCATATTTGCAGACTATTCCAAGTTTTTGGTTGAAACCTCAGAAACAAACCAATAAATGGTTCGAGTAATGAGTGTTTGACGACCGAATGCCGATCAGTGTTTGCTGTGAATACCTAAATATGTAGTACCATGATATAAGACTTCATTATCATTTAATTATATCATTTATTTAAAAATATTAATCAATGGGAACTTTAAGGGAATATCATTAAAGCAATCCTTCATAAAACTCTGATTTTAGTGAAATTCACTGAAGCTGAATGCTTTAATACAAAAGAGCACATGCTACCGTCATCATTAAGAAATAGGTTAAGCTTATCACAACAACAACAACAACAACAACAACAACAACAACAACAGAATCTGACAATTGATCGCACATGCCATTCCCAGGCTGTATTGGAGCTAATCATTTTCCAGGCATTCATCTAATTCACAATCACCTTATCAACGCCTCCTTCTTTGTAAACATTCCACGTTGATCCATCGTTACTGTATGACAAAGTATAAGTTGTAACCCAGCCATCGCGACTATGACTACCCTGGGTACTGACTGCAGTAACTCGACGACGCTTTGGACCAAAGTCGATCTGAATAAATCAACAAAATGAATAAAAGCTTTTATCAATAACTTCTACGATTGCCAACAAACATYACCTGTAKAAACTGATTTGCGTCTGAAGTTGCAGAACACCAATTCTTTTTAGTTTGGTTCCCAAGCCTGCCATACCACGGATCACTTTGACCGGGAGTCCATGAAGAGGCATGGATCTGGTGATCTGGAATCAGTACATTTTGTATTCCAAGTGSTTCTTCACATCCTGAAACTGACATYATTGTMATCATCATYATCAAAGGTATCAGAGTTCAATTATCCACAATTCTGAACTGCGTATAATGTGCGTACAATACAATTTTCGCAGTGAGTTCAGTCTGTTTTTGTCAGTTTTTTAAAAAAGCGAAGAACTGTCGCGTTTTTCCGGTGTGGCCTGAACACTGTTACTTAGCAGGAAATATAAACAAAAATATTGACTTACTTATCGTCGATCCGCATTGAACAAAGATAAATACGTAGAATATTCCACAAGACTGAAAAAAATATACCAAAAATACAGACTCAAAAATTATTTTGGGCGATATGGATGGTCAACGCAAAGAAAAGACTAAAAACCTGCGGAAGGACGAGTTATAAGAATATCAACTGTAAATGATTTTACGAAATGATAGAGAAAAAAACGGAACATTTAAGCAAATTAATAATTGAAAAACTCAAGAGACAAAGTTATGATTTTCGAGTACTTTTTATTCGAAAGGCGGGCTGAAAAATTCAATGAGTAAATAGTTAAATCGGTATATTCAAACCCTTTTAAGTACTTCTTAAATATAAAAATCATGAACTATTAAATTTGGCAATTTACTCCCAGTAGCCGAGTATCAATATTAAAATTTCAAACGTTCTAGTGCGGTTCTCGTGAGATTTTCATCCGCCATTTTGTGTCATTTTTTCAGTTCCCCGCATAATTACACTAATCACATTTTGTCAAGAGTTAATCGAGAAATATATATTTTTGCACTGATCAAAGGGTGAAAATAAGTATGACACGAATATAAAGTAAACCTTATTAATCCACAAAACGAGTTCAATGATGACTGATATCGACGATTGATGATGGTTGATCCATATCACTTTCCTCAAAAACGTTAAATCAAAGTAATTTAGATTGTTATTTAGTACTTGCTATCTTCATTTTCACTTAGYTAATATAAAGAAAACTTACTTTCCCAAATACCCACTCTTCCACCATCTTAAAATGTTTTCATGATATTCATTCTTTTAAGGTTGAACCGAGTGAAAAGTGAAAAGACGAAAAGTTTGTCCAAGTCAAGTYTAGAAGGCAGGTGTTACATCTGAGATGGAGCGATCCAGAACCCCATGCAACGAATATTAATATTACATGCATCTCCATGCCYATGAGACTGTTTAAACTATTTAGGCTTACAGTTGAGGGTGAATAGAAACCGAAGCATTGATGACTCTTAACTGCGGCATAAAATGCTAGTAATAATAACTAAAGCGAGGAGTATTGCTGATCATATAGTGATATCAGTTTGCATTGAGTTTTTGTGTGCTACTGAGTTATCACGAAGGAATACAAATAGAAATAATACAAGAGCTTGTTATCAGTCACTTGGATATTAATGATTCTTTTCACGAGAAAAAAAAATCATCTTACTTGGCTGGACTTCATCCAGCAAAAAAATTTTATATTTCCACTCATTGAACAATTATTTCATATTGATTGGTCCATTTACTGACTAATCGGTCAAAGGCACGAGAAAGTCTAAACTTATGACTRACTTAGGCTAATTTTGGATACCGTTAAACACTAAAAACTGTGTAAGTCTGAATATCATTGTGATTTGAGAGTTATTTCTGATGATTTTCTTGATGCTAAACTCTGAAAATAAAACTTCATGACAGCAGAACTGCTTATTTGATTGGTCAAGCTGTTGTATCGACGTCATCGTTAGTTATTACACAAATATTGACCAAGTGCTTACGCATTAACTGCTATAACCGATTTTTHCTCATTCTGTTTCTATCCAGAGACTAAAACAACCGGATCTAAACTCTACAAACTTGTAAACATATACTTAAGATGGATCAATAAACGGGGGGACTACAGCTCACTTAAGACGAAGGCAAGGTCGGACTCAAAAAGGAAGAAAAATGCATAAAACTACCAAAATACACGCTGATTTTCAAACCCTTTACTCTAATGGTCCCTGAGCTTGATTAAACATCGAGTGTCGGTCAAGTGTACATGCTACGGTAATTGCAATTTTCGTTCATGTCAATATAGGGGGCGATGAGTTTTGGTCTATATTACCATTCCATCTCCCGTATTTCTAAAACTGATTTATTAATCAGAAATTAAATCAGATATTTTTAACATCAAACGTTTCACACTGTCTCATCCCAACTCATCCGATCCCTTTAACATGTATCTTTGCATGTTTAGGTTAAAATAGATTCCTGTCGTTTTAAAATAACCTTTCAATTTTCCGCAATGACTGCATAAATACGCTTGGCTTAACCGTCAATTTCACCAGTTTTCTCCAGAGCAGAAACCAGACGTTGATTTTCCTCACTAAAGAACTACTACTGGTGAGTAAGGTGCCGTGCAGAGATATATTATATTTTAGTACTTTTGTATTTCCTTTTGCTAATACTTACTAAAGACTGTCTCCAGAGGCTTGCCTCAGTTTTATTAGAAAAAATTAAAGGCCTCTTAGAGAACACATCAATTGAAAAAAAGTTATGTTTCTTTTAGACAAAAACTCGTTCTTTAATTTCCGATACTGACATGCTAAGCCAATGAATGTTATATAGTTATTTTTAAAGTTCTTATAGACCTATCCGGGCCAATTTTAGTCTTTTTGAATACTCAAAAACACATATACTAGCTCAGCTGAATGAGGATTAATTCTCTTTATATTGTTCAGAAAAAGATGAATCTCAAAGCCCTCGCGGTGTTGTGTCTGATTCTTGCACTGGTTCTAACTGAATCGGACGGATGGAGAAGACGTCGACGTCGCCGTCGCAGAACATGCCGACGACAATGTTCGAACTATGGCTGTTCCCATGGGTGTCAGTGGGTGAACGGTGTCGCTCAGTGTTCTTATTACTGTCGCCCATCGTCATGTTCATGGTCTTGCAGTGGTAAGAGAGATGAATCAGAGAAGGAAGTGGTATGTATTACACGCACATGCAGTAAAATAACATAAAAAATAACATAAAAACCTTGTAAACTGTTGACAATGAAGCCTTGTAATTTRTTCTTTATAAAATACTGAGTCATTCCTTTCCTTTCCTTTTATCCGTTTCTTCAATTCCTTTAYTTCTATCTGTCTTCCCTTTCTTTCACTACATTTTTTTCCTAACGATACTCGGTTTCTATTTTTYAGCAAGCTGATGAGCGAAAARAAAGSCCGTCCCACGCCTCTGGTCCGAAGTACGTCTCTCGTGTCCCGCTGACCAACAAGTTTTCTGACTACGACAAGAACAAGGATGGCCGTATTGACTTCAATGAGTTTAAGACGACACTTCCACCAGTATCAAGTGACAAACAAATACAAGAAGGATTTGACATGATCGACAAAAATGGTGACTCATAGTTACTATTATAGCTAGTATCAGTAATGTATGCGCATGCTCTTACATGATTTCTGAGGTTATCCCACATGGCTCAGTGCCTTATCTCGTACCGCTTTACTTGTATCATGATTATTTATATTGTTATATCAAACGTAATTTGCCTTTAAATCGAGTCTTATCCCTATCACCAGCCATACATGTCTACTGTCATTCAAGATTGTATAATCGCGAATAGCCTTTTTCGGTCGAAGACCGCGTTCACGTAATAACTAGCTACCGAGAATTSACTCTTCAGTATAGCAACGTTTATATTCGATGCGCGCATTGGTAGATCAGACTTAAACGGTACCTAACTGCTGTTGYTTATTTTCAGGGGATCGCCACATCGATTGTGCCGAGTTCCTTAGAGCTAAAATGGACTTTGTAGGTCATAAGAAACCTACTTGCAAATGAATCGATGATGACGTCAATTGACGAAATTATATGCTAAAATGGACAAAAGTATAAACAGTATTAAATAATGGGTTGTAATTTATAAAAATAAACATGCATTCAATCTGAAATATGAGAGTCTCTTCAGAAATTGATTGACTTTTTATTAATTTTCAATTGAGATATCTTATATTTTCTTATATATATACAGCTCGAAACAAATCCAAGAATTTATCTGGATATATTTAAGGTCACAGAAAATTTATGATAAATAAGAGCCTCAACAGAGTATCCGAATCTAAATAAATATTGCAAATGTATCCTGATTTTTTACCGAGAATGGTGAAAATGGAGATCACATCCAGAAGAACTAAGAATACTTTCAAAATTCAAATTTAGYCACCTTTTTCTACTGCACGATGTCACAGGCCACCCATTATCAATTCTTTCGATTATGAACTCGCGGTCTCGAAGTACGAACCGTGGGTTTGAGCCTCGCCTGAAATAAAAATGTTTTTTTTCCTCCTTTTTTTTATACAGAAATATAATCGTTTATATCATATTCACCAATTCACATCTTTTCCATCTTTAAAATTAAGWGTTCCAAAGTATCAAATACACGAATTTCTATCAATATTTAGTAAACCGGCTCTCAGCAGAATGAGGTTAATGAAAGTTTAAAGCAGGATATTCTACTCGTAAAGTCTTAAATCGGTCCGTGTAGGCGCTCTCAGAGCGTCTAGACATTTCAAGGATTCCTGTGYTATAATCTGACCGTGTTTTTACCAGGCTACAAGGCTAACCTCACATGGTCTTGTMAATGTAGGTACCTTTGGATGGRATAAGGTCCAGGTATGTCTTGAAAAGAGGCTTAAAAGCAATTTCACTKCTTRTTTGTGTCGCTTAGGATTTGCTCAGCCTGAAAAAATATTGATTTTGATATTTTTAGAGTTAATGATTGCAAATGGATTCCCAACAACAAGATCTTGACAACCAGAGTGTAGCACGTGTAGACTTGTAAGTTGAGTATGAWATTGATTTCAATCAAGAGATTGTTTTTTTTTTCGATGTGATAGATGTCAATAGCTTGCATAGTGATCAGTAGTGGAGTGATTTGGATTTGTTGTTGTTGTTGAGCTTTTAAGCACTTCGTTCGGTGGMTTATTGTCATTTCGATCGGTATGATATGATACACTGGACAATTGAACCAGTTATAAACTCACGGTGTTTTTGCATGTATGAATTTAATTCAAATAAATTTCTTCATTCATCTACCAGATCAAACAAGTATTAGATTGTGTACAGTATTTGTTGGTCTCTTCTAAATGCTTTGCAAGAAGGGATTTGTTGTTCAGTTCAAGGCAATCACATGTCCTAAGGCAAATCTCTTTACTCACACAGTACCTCATATTCTCAGGAAGGATATAAGCTTAAGGCCTGTGGTCTTGTTGATGTTCTATTATTCAACTAAGAGTAGGATACATCATTCCCGATTGTGTGGTCATGAGGTCATCTTGGCAAAAATTATCCATTTATAAGTTATTAGTCAATGATATCTCATATCAGCTAATAGCGATACTCAGTTTTTATCAACAAACTCATTCTTATGTTAATGTGCCAACCATGATCAGAATGGCTTTTTACAAGTCACTTTGTTCTAACAGCCAATTTTCTTCTTGTTGGCACATGAATAACATAGGCTTACGTTACATTGAGTATTTCTATACATCTACATGTACTGTAGTGGCCTAAGGACGCTTCAAAGTGCTCAAATTATTCAGATTCACCCACCTGTTAGCAGATTACTGACAGGATGATTGCCTTTTCACCCCAATATCAATATGAGGAAGAGACTTTTGGATATGCTGTTGTTTTGGCTATCATTAGTTAATGTATGAGTCAATTCCCCCGGGCAAACCCTGGGCATTTGACACGACTTTACCTCCATACAGTGGGGAATTTGACTGATTTAGGAGCAGACGGGCGGGCATTTGACGAGTAGGCGACCATCTTGGAAATTATCGATTCAGATGCGAAAGCGCTATTTCGTGACACAATACGAACTTTTAAGCTTATAAGTTAAAAATAAAAACATCTCGGGAACCTAAGCATTTTAATAATAATAATACGTATTATTTATATAGCGCCAACATCCTTACAGTTCAAAGGCGCTTCACATGATCACGGATCGCTATTAGCAGCCATGAGGCTTACAATCATTTTTGGGAACATTCTCAATCTTTTGTACTTTCACGATGAGAAATCTCGATATAAAAAGGGGGGGGATGGGCACCTTTGGAATTGACTCATACATAAGTACATTAATATTTATTTTCATGTAGACCAACGATGAACAACAACAAGCAAAGTAATGAAGACATTGATGGATGGAACCCCATGGAAGATGACTATACTAACAAAGCGTTCAATGCCTACAAGGAACCAACAACAGCTGAACTAAGACAATGGATGCTTCAGTAAGTATTCATTCTTTATATACATCTACTTGCATACCAACTATGCAATGTCCATGCAGCTTCATCTGGGGCATTTGGGTCTAGTAAAAGCTAAAATTCAATTGTTTTGACGTCAAGATAGAAATTGCATTCACACAAACTTCAATGAGTTGGACTGTAACTTTTCAAATTCATAATACTTGTGATTTTATCCTTTCAGAAAGGGKGAGAAAGCTCCMAGTGAAAACATGATGGCAAACTATAGAAGCCCAGAAGGAGATGTGAGACTTTTTGTCAATGGTATTCCACCAGATTTGACTCAGGTAACTAMTCGGTAACTATCAAAATAGTGGGAACTAGCRGCAAACTAGTGAGCTGCGTTGGTGTTTCTAAAGAAACAGTTTTGTAAAAAGATAAATTTAACATTGTAAAAAAGTCAGTGAAATAACTTACTATCAAAATAAACTTGTTACACAAAGACCTGAGAATACATTATCATAATAGCAAATGTTTTACCACTTTGAATAACAAGTTATGATTATTATTGTTGGATATTTTTATTGAAGTATTGTTTATTTAGGAGGGAATCAGAGGCTTGTTTAACCAAGCAGGAAAAGTAACATATTGTAAAGTCATCCCAAAAAGAGATACTAGTAGAAAAGATACATTTGGGTAAGGCATACTGCATGTATAATGCACATAAAAACAAGTCCATTCTCCTTCTAGTTCACTTTCAGAAATGTATACATCAGTACATATTGCTTCCAATGCTCACAAAAAGCCATAGATGTTATTGCAGTTGTGACTGACAATATCTTTTGTTCGTATGTATTCATATTTGATATGCTGAAAATTATTTGTAATTACTTGTATTTTTTGTCCTTTTTCAAATATTTTCAGATTTGTTGGTTACCAGTCATACAGAGAGGCCGAGAAAGCTATCAGACTCTTTGATGGTTTTTCTCTTGGAGAAAACTTGAGGTTGAAAGTTAACCTTGCAAAACGAAAAGCAGAAAACATACCTTATGCTGAGAGTTCTTTGCCAGCAGGATTGACTGAAGTGAATGGAATTGATGAAAGGTAGTTTTACATTGTAAAAAGCATGTTCTCACAAACAAACTACAATAATTGTGGAGTTTCTTTGGTAGAAGCAGTGCGTCATTTGAAAAAAAAAATATATTGTTTTGTTAGTGACATTAGTTAATTTTGCCTCTGTAGTACGTGTGTTGCTCTCTTAGTTAGTGGCTTTCTACCTTCCTTTTTCAACTATTTTTCTTTGAAGAAGCTAAGATTTAGCTAAATAAATGCTCTTAATTTATAGTGCAGACTGGGATACCCAAGCAATGAACTCTGCTGAGACAGATAGTGGTGTTACTAAGATAGACACTGCTGAAGTTGCTAATACTGAAAATACGATCAATGAAGTTCCAATGGAGGAAAAACCTACTGTAAAGCAGGATAATGAACCACCAGAACAGAATCATGATAACCATACACATGTACAAGCTGCTGAAACTAGAATAAGTTCCAGTGATTATTCAACACCTGTCACTCAGTCCASTTCTGTACCAAGTAGTGCTGCCCCTCAAGTTAATGGTCAGAAAGTCTTAGAGAAGGAACTCATTCCTGAAGGTATTTGCAGTTTCTTGACATGTTTTGTATTGAATTGAAAGTAAACAGTTACGAAAGATAAAATTGAATTCTTCTTTATTTAGCACCATGTTCAGTGTGTGGAAAGAATGGACGAAGGCGTTGCTCCAGTTGCAAAATCCAGTATTGTAGTAAAGATTGYCAGATAACTGACTGGCCAGAGCATAAGAAAGTTTGTACCTGGAAAAGCCAAAAGGGTAAGTTCAGGTTAATCAATTTTCTTCATGTGTTTTAAGTCAGAAATTATCCTGTTGGTTTGGATGTCCAGAACAATGCCATTCCCCATCATTTGTTGTTGAAAATAACAACAATAATGCCAAATGATTTAATCATAATTTTTTTATTYTTACAGAAATTGAAGTCAAGCAAACCAATAAAGATGAACCATACGTAATAGATGAAGATGAGATGGAAATTTCAGATCCTCGGGGCTTCATGTCACACTTTGGTGTTCGTGTCAGACCAGATGTGGTGCCGGCAATAGCGCCAAATGCATTTGAACAAGACAACAGTTTATACCTTGAACTTGACTCWGAGTATCCACAGTATCCAGTAAATGGACTTCGTCAGCCGCTGGAGAGAGCTCAGATTACAGAGATAGAMGAACCAGAAGAAAACAATCCAGTTGTTGAAAATCGAAGATCTCMATTAATTGAAGAGATTGATCCTCCAAATACCAACACCAGGTCACCTCTGATTGAAGAGATTTCCTCAAATGATGTCCATGCAACAATAAACCACACAACTTCTCCTTTAATTAGCGAGCTAAGWTCACAGCAACAGGAACCATTGGAGCCAGAACAACCATTGATTACAGAGATCTCTTCAACGTCAGAAACTGTAAAGARTCCTGTYARTCGCCCATTGGTTGAAGAAATAGTTACATTTAATGGTACCAACAACCTGAAATCTAAGCTAACATTAATTGCTGAGAATACCAATGATGAATCTGGAACAACTACCATCACAGAAATTCCTGCCACTCAAGCCACAGAAAATCGACCACCACTAATTACAGAAATTATTCCAGGGGAATCCATTTCTCAGGTATTTCATTGATAAACTTTATATTGATTTAAGTTGATAATTGCAATGTCGATCATCGCTTTTTTAAACTTTATATTGATTTAAGTTGATAATTGTAATGTCGATCATCGCTTTTTAAATTGTTCTAATCTTATTTTGTTACCTTGAAGGCACCACAAAGTATTCAGCCGATTAACCAGAATTATCAAGAAGAAGAGTCCAGCAATGTGATATTAAACCAAAGTCCAGTCCMCCATCGCTATCGATTTGCCGACATACCACACGAGACATTGTACCCGGATAACCTTTATGACATTGTTGTCACGTCTGTCTCATCTCCAGGCCTATTCTGGGCACAAATGTTTGCAAGAGATACATTAGAAAGACAAACCTTCCTTTACCAAACCCTCAACGAAGTCTATGCCAATTCAGAGTACGAGAACTATGTTCCAATGCCTGGAGATGTGTGTGTTGCCCAGTATTCCTTAGATGACAACTGGTATAGATGTAAAGTCAACTTTATCAGTAATAATGGTTATGTTAATGTAACTCACATTGACTTTGGCAGTTCRGAAGACGTCAATGTAACCAGGATTAGGAGAATTACCAGTGACATTGCAGCCGTCAGAATACAAGCAATCAAGTGCTCTCTGTACTTTGCAGATGGTTCGCCAAAAGAGTGGAGCCATGAAATGATTGAAACTTTTCGCGCCACTGTTCTGGATGTCAAGTGCAGAGTAAACTGTGTTGAAGTCAAAGATTCTGTGTGCTTTGTGGAGTTATATGGTGCTAACGATAAAATGAGTGACATGCTTCAAGAAATGAAGAATAAATTTGTCTTAAATCCTGTGGCGTTACCAGAACAACCAATGGACAATCTTCCTTCTGAGCCCGTACCCCGTGTGATGTTAGCGTCCCCAGTATCGACAGACACTAAGACCACACCAACCATGTCACGTAATCAACCAGTTCCTGCCACGATAGCAGACCAGCCATCTATACCGCCAGATCCTATGACCACACCAACCATGTCACGTAATCAACCAGTTCCTGCCACGATACCAGACCAGCCATCTATACCACCAGATCCTATGACCACACCCAGTGTGTCACATGATCAACCATTGGTTACAAACAATGCAACCATTCCAGAACAATCATCCAAGCCCATTGCTATGACTGCACCAAGTACACTGCCTGGTCAATCAGGTGAGGCAACTACAACAAGCATTACAGCTGATCAGGTATCACAGATTTCATCGTCAGAAAGAGCGACCACACCCGTTGAGTTATCGAAAATGGTTTCAGATATTTCAATGACCTCTTTGCCAACACCAACGAGTGAAACATCTCAGCGAGAGACCCATGATTCAACACCACACAGTACACTCTCTGGACAAGTACCATGTCCAACAAGCCCTGTCCATGATGCACTTCCTGGTCTGAAAACACCACCACCATTGCCTACACTATCTACGCCAGATACTGACCGACAAGGTCAACCAACCTCTAGTTTATCAAGTAGTGATAAATTTTCAAGCACGTTGTCAAGTTCAAGCTCAGAAGTAGACTTGAAGCGAACTCTCTCGCCATCATCCYCGAGGCACGGCAACTTTACACCGAAACAAAAGTTCGAAGCAGTGGTGAGCTCCGTTGTGTCGCCAATTGAGTTCAAGGCTGTACTGWCGGAACCAGAACTCTTAGCAAAGTTAGATGAATTACACACTAAACTACAGGAGTACTGCAATTCCACGCCTTGTGATCCATCGATAATGTACAAGTACCACGACGTATGTGCTGTAAGATCAGCCAAAGACATGGAATGGCATCGTGCGAGGATCACGTTTTCTYCCCAGAACAACAGTTACTCAGTTCATTTATTGGACATGGACACCAAAGAGAGAGTATCAACTGACAACATGAGACCCGTTCCAGATTGGGYCCAAGCTCTTCCTCCTCGCTGTATTATRTGTTCTTTAGGTGGCATAACCAAGCGTTCTGGGATGACAAACTTTGGTAAAGATGCAAGTGAGAAGTTTGCGTCACTTGTTTTGAACAAGAAATTCACCTGTAAAGAGATTAGCAGAAAGAAGAACTCTTACTTGATTGACTTGCTCGATGAATTGGGCCAGCCGTCTGTCGCTAGAGAATTGATTGATGGCGGTTAGTACATGAATACATTTATGAGGATTCAGCCGATTTAGATTCCATATGTAGCGTAAAATCGCAATCATTGGACGGTACGGTCACGACACGAATACGCTGTAGTTTTTKCACACTCATACGAAATTTAATATAAATATTTCACTGGGGATAATAAAGCGCTTACTGAGTGTAATGAGAGCGTTTTTAAAGAAATACAAATCAGCGTATTGCAACGTGGCTCTTTTGAACTATAGTCTACTGTCCATACATACATGTCACCAATGTGAACACTGTAATCACTAGTCTTTGTTTCAAGGCTTTACCAAGTCTTCATGCAATCGCCGACATTGTATTTTTGCATTGTTAAATCCCTTGAGAAATAAACAATACCACTATTGTGACGATTATTTTAATTTAGACTTACCGGTAATGTTTTCTGTTTAGGTTTTGCAGATGCATTTGTAAGGAAACCATTTGAAAACATGGAGCTGAACGCGTCCTTCTTATCATGTCGTATGGCCATTAGTTCAGCCAGGTTACCACCGCCTGGAGAACTTTTCCAAGCCAATGTCTCTCAATATGAATCACCTGGYCACTTCTTTATTCAGTTGAAAGATGAAGAATCACAACAAACACTGGATAAAATATGCCAAGAAATGAATGGTCACTACGCCRCTTTACCTCCTCCTACCGACTGGCAGGCCAGAGAAGGTCAACATTGCGCCGCGTTCTTCAGGAGTTCTTGGCTAAGAGCTTCTGTGAAAAGTATCAACGAAGACAAAGTTGCAACTATTTTTTGTGTCGACTTTGGGAATGTTGAAATCGTTCCTCATTCAGCTCTTCGGCCATTGGAACCTCAGTTCTCATCACTTCCCCACTGCGCTCTTCACTGCAGTCTTGCATACATTTCACCACCCGAAGGCAACACYGAATGGACTAAAGAAGCTGTTGAATTTGCACGGATGAAAATGCCGCTTTCATCCACTGTGAATGTGTCTCTTGCTTTTAAAGGCAAAACCATTCTGTTCATCGATGTATTTCTGCAAAATAATGACAGTCTGTCGCGTCTGTTGATCTCAAAATCGCTTGCTTCAAAAAGAAACCAYCAAGGTTCCCCTGCTAAAGAAGAAAGGTACGTTAATATAGAACAAAAGAATAGCAATAGTTGACTTGATTTTCACGGAAGAGTTGCTGCAATTCCTTTCAGTTGTTCATTTTGGAATTGYGTTTTATTTATCGAGATATTTTTTTGGCGTCGTCCATAATATACAATGTTATCCGGTGGATAAGGGTTTTGTCCTGTAGAGAGCGCTATTCACACTTCGTACAAACTTGCACTTCTTGGGTTTTTCATCTTTTCTGTTTTCAATGCACATCGTGAAACGTTTGGATCTTTATTAAGCTTGCGCGTTTTAACAAGTTTATTTGGTGAATATGTGTAAGGTTTTTATTATTTTGGAGCTGGGAGTAATCTAAGTGTCCTTATTAGTGGGGTTTTCCGAAATAACGGGTTGTCCGTACTAGCGAGGTGTCCACAAGGCAGGAATTGACTGCAAACCATTTTGTTCTTGTTTAAAGGTTCTTCAATCAACATGACAGCAAAGGTCAATTTCTTCAGAAGTCACCAAGACAAAGAAACCGAGACAAACAGCCTACTCCTAAAGAAATGGCGATAAGTGCTGCMAAACTTCCTCAATCGAAGGAGTGCTTCAAAGTTTTTGTGACACACATTACATCCCCGGGYTGTTTCGCTGTTCAAGTTGCAGATTTTGAATTGGCGTCCAAGGTGGCTGCCCTTCACAACCAGATGAATTCACACTACAATACCAACACTTATCCACCCCACCARCCTACTTTGAATGAGGTCTGTGCATCGCAGTTTACCGTAGATAACTCATGGTACAGAGCGTGGATCGAAAAAGTAGTCGATGATAAAGTCCATGTCTATTACGTGGATTACGGAAATTCAGAGGTGCTGGACGCATCGCGGCTACGTCCTCTAGAACCACAGTTTAGGGGTCTCCCTTATGCTGCTATAACGTGCGGTCTTGGCAGTATTACTTCACAAGGCGAGTGGAGCCCAGAAGCGAAAGAGTTTTTCAGTTCCAAGGTACCGGTATTTGCAGCTCTAGAGGTCAAGATTGTGTTTAAGAAATATGAATGCATCTTCTTGGAGATTTCTGATCCTCAAGACCCGACGACAACCGTCAACAAGACCTTGGTAGCGAATAACCTTGCTGTGTGGATGTTCGACAAGAAGCCACGCCGTGAATTCTCATCCAGTAGTCCTCCCGGTGCGATGCCAATTGATGTAAGAGAAAAGAAACTTAAAATTGATGAAAACACGATGAAAAGCTTAGAAAACGATCTCAGTATGAAGAAAAACATTGTGAATGACAGTGAGATGCCAAGACAARACATCGAAAACCCAAGACAGACCTTTGAAGATACCGGAAGAAACAACGCCGAAAATCAAGTAAAACTCATTGAAAATCAAGAACGCCCCAAGGAGAATCCAGGAAGAACAATGGAAACTCCACAAAGTTTCGTCCAGGCTCCACTCAAGTTTACCGTTGATTCAGTGCCAATTATAGCAGTACMACATGGAGATCTCCACAACAGTATGGTGTGTGATGTGAAGCCAACAGGAATCGTTTCTTTTCAGATGTTAACCAAGGAAATAGAARACTTTGCATCACTTGGTACCAACATCAGCGTCCACTGCAACCAAGTAGATAACACGCCGTATTACCCCTCTGTTCGTGAGCTGTGTTTTGTGCGTTTTACTGAAGATAAAGAATGGTATCGTGCTGTGGTTGATGCTGCTCTTCCCAGCAACAAGTTTAAAGTCACTTTTGTTGACTATGGYAACGAAGATATCGTAACCCCTGAAGCTATTCGTGTGATGAATGAGAAGTTCCTCGCGCTCCCTCGACAAGCCTACACCGGACCACTAAAGGGAATAGCATCGACCAATCAGACGCCATTGCCTGATGACGTAATCAACGCGCTTAAACAACAGCTATTAGACAAGCGTTCATTTGTTCTTGTGGATAGGGACGGCGTTGAACTTTTTGATGTTGGTCCAAACGGTGATCCAAGCAAAAGCGTCAACGCAAAGTTCATTGATATTCTCTATCCTCAAGTTCCAACAGAGGTCGACACCGAGTTCGCAGMTTTGGTAACCGAAGTTCRCAACACCYGTGAAATATGGCTACAACAACAACACCAACATGACGTCATTAAAACCTTGATGGATGACGTCAATTTGTATTGCAGTAATACGTCATCAATGACGTCACCACCTTCTCAAGGAGACCTTTTATTCGCYAAACACAGTTTCTATAATRGMTGGTATCGRGCAAKRRTCGATGAATGGAAACCACCCATGGCTAGTGTTCGTTTCGTYGACTATGGATACAGCGAACAAGTGACCGCAGACAAGCTACGTCCACCAAGATCTGATCTACTGAGGCTTCCACCCCAGGCTGTTAAGTGTTATTTGGTTCGTGTGGTACAAGGGAACCCTGGSGCAGATGACTTCATCAAGCAGATCTTGAACAGAGAGTTTATCGTGAAGATAGTCGAGAAGAAAGGAGATAGTTTAGGRATTGAGTTAGAGGACTATGGTGTCCCTAATGGACCTTTGAACATCAATGATTACTTGATTGGATTTGGCTACGAGGCGTAGAGACTAATATAAACATATAGATACTCATTCTTCAGTTAACGTTATATAGAGTTATTCTTGATCATTAAGTAAAGTATAAATTTAACAGGACATCTCGGTGTTTTTGTATTTCTTATTTAATTTCTATTTCGTGGCTAGTTTTTTTCGAGATTGCTTGGTTCTTCCACGTATTAYTTTCCTTGTTTTTCGTTTTAGGGTTAAAAGGTGGAGTCAATTACTGACTGGATGTTTTTTTGTATGTTTGTGATTGTGGTTCATGAATTTTTGCTCGGTTAGCCACTTCCACGCATTAAGTAGCGTAAAGAGAATCTACAGCCTTCATAAAGCAAGTCTTTCTTTAGTAGCTCGTATTTTAGCACAAAACGGTTGAAGTACTAACACTTTTTMTTTGATATTCCATCTATTCGCACTCCGTCGTAGTCGAATGTTAGTCGCTGTAGTAATAATGACGTAATAATGACGTCACTCTTCTGAAAAACAGATGGTTTGAACATTTAAGAAGGGTATTCCATCTCGGCCTCTCACGAACGATTTACTTTTATGTTAACTTGCGATTTTGTATGGAGCCTGATTTGTACAGGAACATGGAATGGTAATACTGGACGAATGGAAGCCCAAACGCAAGTTAGTAAAAATTTAAAAAGTTTATTGAAAGAATTTAAAGTATTCGAGCTGGGTTCACATTCCACAAGTCAGCTATCTGTGCTTGTTTTGTTAATATTTAATTGGACGAGATCACAAGACGAATGATTAAGAACRAAATTACGCGCGAATTTTTTTCTTTTTGAACATAGTKGTTTGTAYATGTACTTACACCTTAACGTAATACGCGRGAACGATATATTTAAAAGAATACGTGTGCTTTACGTTAACGTGTATAAACGGTTGGATATATAAACGCTGAAACACCTGCGACTATAGAGAGTTAACGTTAACGACACCATACAATCGGCATAATTACAACTTGCCACTATGACTTATATTTTCACAGCAGAGAGTCGTTGATTGAATTTTCGAGCATCTCGCATGGAAGGCTTTTATTTTTAGAACGTTACTTTTGCTTACAAATAATTAGTTAATTTTGCCTTATTAAACTTCAGATAACTTCAAAAAGTTTTATCAGATACCGGACGTTTCCATGCAAGAGTAAAATGGCATACTTGAAAATTATATACCTAGTGCATTATTGAAAAAGAAAGGAAACGTTTTGAAATAATAGAATTAGAGTTGCATAAGCGGAAAGTCTTAGACAAATCTAGATGTGGAATATTTCGAGCATGCATTATTTATTGTCAAAATGTTTTCATTGTCTCATGGCTCATCATACTTTATCTCCACAGGGGGTTTAACTTTCGCGCTAACGAGACGCGTACGATTTGAATATGATCATAAGTTTTATCCCTAACAACAACCGTTTTGATTACATCTTTCTTTTTAGTAAAACTTTCCAATGTCATATCACGTGATCAAACAAATCTGTTCTCTTCRAAAAAACGCTAAAAAAGCTTTCCACTYGAGTCTTGTTCATATCATRCTTGAGATAAGATGTCCCTATGTTTCACCCCAACAAAGTCRGGGAGCCTTTTTCGAGRAATAGRACACATCTACATTGTTGCTTCTCCTGGTGTTTCTTCAKCAGAAAATCTTGTATGGACTGGTGCTCTTMGTYGCTGTTTTCTTGATTGGTAAAGCATCAGGTACATTAGAACTTTTGTTTCAATATTACTTTAACATAATTGCTAAACTGCAATCAGTTAAGAGTATGCACTGTTCGTTTCAGGATGTGAAGAACCACTTGGAATACAAAATGTGCTGATTCCAGATCACCAGATCCATGCCTCTTCATGGACTCCCRGTCAAAGTGATCCGTGGTATGGCAGGCTTGGGAACCAAACTAAAAAGAATTGGTGTTCTGCAACTTCAGACGCAAATCAGTTTCTACAGGTGATGTTTGTTGGCAATCGTAGAAGTTATTGATGAAAGCTTTTATTCATTTTGTTGATTTATTCAGATCGACTTTGGTCCAAAGCGTCGTCGAGTTACTGCAGTCAGTACCCAGGGTAGTCATAGTMGCGATGGCTGGGTTACAWCTTATACTTTGTCATACAGTAACGATGGATCAACGTGGAATGTTTACAAAGAAGGAGRCGTTAAWAAGGTGATTGTAATTTAGGTGWTAGTSCTGACTGTATGCAGRCARTTCACAGAATATWGATGATGATTGCATCATGATAGCGATGATATATGATGATGATAWTGTCCCAAATGCATAAAGAGAGCTCGCATTAATGATATCATTATGACAATATATCATGTCAAGTATGATTGTGATAGTGATAGTGCTATAATCCAATATATAATGCCGCATACCACATTTCTAGATCTTCACAGCAAACACTGATCGGCATTCGGTCGTCAAACACTCATTACTCGAACCATTCATTGGTTTGTTTCTGAGGTTTCAACCAAAAACTTGGAATAGTCAAATATGCATGAGAGTTGAGGCATTTGGTTGTTCAGGTAAGGTGTATTCATCATATTATAATTTTAGTTCGTCAAGGAAAGCCACAGAACGCTTATTTACCTCAACTATTGCAATGCATCGTTTCTATTTTTAGCATTCTATCAGCCTATTGGTGTTGAAAATGGTAAAATTCCCAATGCACAAATGAGATGCCGCAAAGCACWTTCTGGCGAAGTATGCAGCTATGCACGCTTAAACCATGCCAAAGCTGCAAGAATGGACAATACCTTTGAGGAGTTTTTGGAAGTCAACATTGGGCCAAGTTTGAAAGTTGTTACAGCTGTAGCAACGCAAGGCCATGGGAATAGAGACGAGTGGGTCAAGTTGTATAGTTTAAGTTACAGTTCTGATGGAGCTGAGTGGTTCAATTATGAAGAACATGGTGAACTCAAGGTATCGAATATTGATTCACACAAAGCTGATGATAGTGGTCTTGTAATATCATGAGAATGTGATTCATTTTAGCCTATTTTACTTTTCAGATGTTTGATGGTAACTTTGATAGGCATACAATAGTCAAACACGAGTTTYGTCGTGAAATCACAGCCATTTTGGTCAGATTTAATGTGTTCACATTGTACAAATATGCCAGTATACGTGTGGAAATCTATGGAGGTGAAGGTAACGAAGCAATATTTTTACTAGCTATAAACTTACACAAACTATAATGTGTAKGGATAATATGATATTATATACAAGCTATAATGTGTAGGGATAATATGATAGTTAAGTCATGTATTGTTTAGTTTGTAGC